CCCGCACAAATCAGAAATAGATATCACTAAATACCTGGAGTCCAAGTGTACATGGTCAAGCAATGGAATGACCAAAACAGATCGTGTTGGATTCCCAGAAGTCAACATATTCTCCACGTTATGGCTGACTGTGTGTGTTTGAAGAAAAGAATGACTGATGAAAGCATTTGACAAAGGATTCACGTCTCAAGCTAAGCTCAGCCATTTTTTAACTCATTCTGAACAGCTGAAATGATTGCATTATTGTCCCCAGCATCTTGTCCCCTCTAGTCCCAGCTGCTCACTGGGGGAGCTGAGCACACACAAAAAAAGATTCTGGTTTATATCTGCCTCTCTTAGGAGATCAGGTTTTCTTCCCAGTGATAAGCCAGCCTACTGACTTGATGTCTCCTTGAAATTTTCTGCTTAGTTTTAGTTTCAGTGCATTTCAAGACTTGGGTTCCAAGTCGACATAATGAAGACTAAGGAACAGGTTTAAAAATTCTATTTGTTTCTTATCATTTTATTGGAAAAGTAGAGAGTCATAGAGATACCGAGATAGACTGAGTTCATTCATTGATGGTTCACTTCCCCAAATGCCTGTAATGGCAGGGGCTAAGTCAGACCAAAAGCCAGGAGCATCGTGGCAACAATCCAAAAACTTGAGCTGTCAGCTGTTGCTTCTGGAGTGCACAATAGCCAGAAGCTTGAATCAGAAACAGAGGCGGGACTTGAACCCAGTGCTCTGATAGAGAACGCGGGCATCCCATGAGTCTTCACTGCTGTCCAAATGTCCACTCCAGGGAACAGAAGTAAGATAAGCAAATTCTACCACCTACGATGGTACACGATGGGAGAGATCATAGAGGCTGTAACTTTGGTTGGGTCACCGTAGGCTGGACTGTCCTCTTGATGTTCCACTTTCATTTCCAGAAACTCCTTGTAACAGCTTCAGACACTGCCCACGTTCCTTTCAGTCTGGGCTCTAGTACAGTTTTCCATCTGCTAAGAGACTGAGCCTGCCCAGCACCCTACTCCCCCTCATCCTAATCTTGCAGATGGCAAAGCAGTCCTCAGCATGTCCCTGTTGCAGGCAGAGCTGTGCCCAGTGTCCTCAAGGCTGGTAGCACTTGCTTCTTTGTTCTCTCTGCTCATTTTCCAGAACAATCTTCTGTCTGCTGTAATGGATTGTGTCCTTTCTGAGGACAGAGATTTCCTCAAAAATCTTACGCATCAGGGGCTGGTCAACAAACATCTATTGGGATAAATATGAATTCACAATATTTTAATATCACCAAGCAGGTGCATGAAACTGTCAAGAGGGAAGATGGCAGGTGAGTGTTTATCTCAGCAATCAAGATGCTTCTTGGGAACTGGACCTTAGGCACAGTAGCTCAAGCTACTGAGCCCCCGCCATCCACATCAGAGACTTGCATGGACTTTAGACTCCTGGAGTGGCCTGGTCAGCCATGACTGTTGTGGGCATTTGAGACACGAACCAGTGAATGGAAAGATCTGTATCTCAAGCCATGTGAAAATGAATGAAGAAAAAACTGTAAAGAGGAAAAAGAAGTCAGGATAGGGAAGAAGACAGACCACAGATTTGGAAGTCCTAGTATGTGGGAATGCGTGGTCAGTCCATGTTGAACGCTGTGCTTTCTGCTGTGCAAAACACAGAATGATCTGCTTCCAAAGTCTCTGGAAGGGCTACGTGAGGAAATGCATCTGAAGTACCAATTAGGTGGCTGGCACTAGGGGAGGCTTATTAAACCTGAGAGGGCAAACTGGCAGTCCTCTTGAGCTTTGGTCCAACCTGTCGTTGAAGAGGTAAGCCTTGAATGCCCATTGGAAGCGTTCTACTTTGTGTGGAGTGCCAGGTAATCTCTTAAACAAATGTCCATGCTCTAGTTTGTAACATGATGATAGTATCTGTATTTTCCAGGTGAGGGAAATGAGATTAAAAAACATTTATTTATTTTGGACCAAAAATCCAGCATGCTTATCTCAATAGGCTGGCACCTTTCACCTTTCTTTTTTCTCTTCTCTTTTATTCTTTTCTTTTCTTTCTTTCTTCTCTTTCCTTCCTTCCCTTTTTCTTTCTCTCTCTCTCTCTCCCCCCTCCCCTCTCCTTTTGTAAATCTTGTGCTCCTTTCCAATAATGCAAAGGCAGATTTATGGAGAGAAGGAGAGACAGAGAGAAGTCTCTTTTATCCATTGATTTTCTTCCCAAACGGCCGCAACGGCTGGATCTGAGTTGATCTGAAGCCAGGAACCAGGAGCTCTTTCAGGGTTCCAAGGCTTTGCTTCCCCAGGCCATAAGCAGGAAGCAGGATCAGAAGTGGACCAACCAGGGCACAAACCAAAACCCATGTGGAATGCTGTTGCTTGCAGGTAGAGGATTTGTTTCTGGCAACATCTGCAGCTGAACTGATCCAGAGCCAGGAACTTTTCCTGGGTCTCCCACATAGGTGCAGGGTTCCCAATGAGGTAATTTTACACAAGCTGGCAGAGAGGCCAGAAATGTGGCAGAGGGTTAAGCTGCTGCCTGAAAAGCCGCATCTTCGGGTGACAATTTGACTTGCAGCTGCTGTGCTTCTAATCCAGCTTCCTGCTACGTGCCTGGGAAGATGGCCCAAGCATTTGGGTCCCTTACCACCCACGTGGGAGATCCAGATGGAATTTTCGACTCCTGGCTTTGGTCTGGCCTATCCTGGCTGTTGTGTTCATTTGGGAGGGGTGCACCAATAGACGGAAGACTTCTCTGTCTCTCCCTCTCTCTAACACTGTTTACTTACATATATACTTTTTTTTTTTTAAAGAGAAAAGCTGGTTCAGCACAGTGGGCAAAGCATGGTTTCTGAATTCAGTTCCAAATCCCGGTTTGATTACTTACTAGGTGTACAACTTTAGGAATGCTATCCACATCCCTCAGTTTCTTTGTCTAGAAAATGGGTATAATCACATCACCTGTTCCCCTGGGTTATTATGAAGGCTGGATAAAATGCCTATAAAACAGTCCTTGCTATCTGCCAACATGATGTCTCACCCCCATCTCCTTGTCCCCTCCTGGCCACTTCCTTTCCTTTTTACAAGCAAAGGGTCACTGTTTTTGATGAGCTGGCGTGAGCCCCTGCGCCTTCAGGGAGAGAAGGAATGCATGCTGTGAGATTTTCAGGAACTGGAGCGTGCAGGGCTGTATAAAGGCATGAAACCGTCCTGCAACACTGCGATGTTCAGATGGGTGGGTCTCAGCCCTAGCTTATTTTCTGGCTTAGTTCCCACAAGGTACCTGGGTCTCTGTCACAGCTCATGCATCCAGAAGGGCCAGTTGTACATGGATTCATCTTTTGCTAGGCACAAGATCTTTTGTAAAAACTGCAACAATTTCAGGTAAACACTATGTTCTAAGCCCTAAACTCTGGGTGCCAAGGCCATGTGTGGAGTTTTAGCTACATTTATTCCCCCTGTTAATCAATGTCAAAAACAGCCCTCCCCAACTCATCTGCGGGGAAGAGAATGGTGCCTAACACATAGAACCCCACTAAGTGCCCCACTGAGAGTGGGCAGACAAAGCACTGGGAGGCTCTGTACTGAAGTCCCATAATATTTCACCAGGAATTCAGGCATCCCCCCTGAGCTGTCCTGGGGGGCAGAGGCACTGGGACCACACCCAAGCAGGCCCTACAGGCTTAAGAGGGAACATACTGGTCTCTTGGCATCTGTCCTCAGCCTGATGGGTGCACAGACCTGAACGCACACAGGTGAAAAAAATTGCCTCGGGCGTTGGCTTGGCATGGAGGCACAGAGGGAGTGGTCCTGGCTTCTGCATTGGCAGGCAAGGCACTGGGAAGAACCAGGCGGGCTACCGAGGGACTACATCCCATTTGCATTAATTCCGCCCTCCCCCCTTCCCCCCCAGCAAGCTTGTAATGGAGTCACTATGGAAACAGTCTTCACAGAGCAGAAAATTTTTTTCCATCTGAATTTAGTCTTCTTTGCGTTGGTTTTTTGAATGCTTTGAACCTACACCTAATTTTGGAGCTCGGCCTAAATTCAGGCCCTTAGCCCCTCTGAAATAAGGGAGCCCCAGGAAGGCACCCCATAAGTAGTTCACACGCTGGTGGAAAAACACACACAGTCATCTGACCCCGTCCAGGCACCTCCTTAAAATGGGAGAAAAGAAAAGCGAGCTTCCAGACACCCGAGAGCTCGGTACAAGTATGAGTTTCCTTAAAGCAGAAAAAAGGAGTGTTCATCCCACCAACTCACACAGCCGGTGTCGGGGCCAGCTGGGCTTGCCCCTGGTCCTGTGACCTCAGCAACGCCGCTGCGATCCACCTGGCGACTCAGGGGGCCCACGACTAGAAACACACTCCAAATTTACAGCCAACAGGTGGGCAGGGAGAGAGGCGGGATTCGCTCTCTTCCCCGCCACCATTTACTTATCTTTCCCCTTTAACGCAGACTTAAACATACTCTATTGCCTCGTTTTCCCCCTTCTTTTTAGAATGCATTTAGTTGTTCTAAGCTTCGGTGCTACACTCGGGTAGATCACCCGTATCAGGCAAAAGGAAACCAACCTAGAGCTTGGGCCGTAACCCTGGGAAAGCTTCGCCGTGGCTTTCCTCCCTTCTGCACCCAGAACGTTCCGTCCTCCTCTCCAGAGTGGCGGGGTGGAGGCAGCCGACCCCTCTCCGGTGCTCCCCAGGGAGCGTCGGGTCACTCCCCTCCTGGATTCACCCCAGTGACCGCGTCCCGCCCCGCCTCGCCTCCGCCCAGCGCGGCTCCCGCACTTCGGGCTTCTGCGGCGCGCAGGCTCCAAGGAGCGCGCGGGGGGCGGGCAGCAGGCGCGCCCGCCCTCGGTTCCGCCCCCTCGGCCGCGCGCGCGCGCGTGGGGTGGGGCTGTGGGCCCGAGGCCTCCGGGCGCGCGCTGCTGGAGCGCCGGGGCCGCGCGTGGGGGGAAGCGCCGGAGCGGGCGGGAGCGGGCGGGGCGGCGCCGCCGGGCCGCGCAGCTGCCGGGCATTAGGGCCTCGGCGGAGCCCGCTGCCCGGGCGAGCGCGCTGGGCGGGGTGTGCGGCGGGAGGCTCGGCGGGCAGGCGCGGGCCCGGAGGCAGCGGCTGCGCCCTGCGCCGGGGCGGAGCCGGGGGCGGGCGGGCGGCCGGCAGGCGGGGGCTGGGGCCCGAGGCCGGGAGTGCCTGAGCGCCGGCGGCGACGACGGCTCCGGGCGGCCCGGCGAGGCTCGGTGCGTGGGTCCGCGGCGGCTCGGGGTCCGCCCGCGCGGGCTGCGGTGCGAGCGGGCGGCCCGGCTTCCCTTCTCCCCCGCCCGCCGCCGCCGCCGCCGCTGTGATTGGGTGGAAGATGGCGCTGGGCGGATGGAAATCCTAATGACAGTCTCCAAATTCGCCTCCATCTGTACCATGGTAGGTGCGGCGGGAGGGCGGCGCAGGGGGCCCGGGACCCCCGCCTCAGGCCGGCGGGCGGGCGGCCCTTGCCCCTCCGGCCCTCGTCGTGCCGCCCGCGGGGCCTGGCGCGGGGTTGGCGGCCCGGGCGGGGGCGGTTGGCTCAGCGCGCGGCTGATCCGCGGCCCCCACGGCCGGGGAGGGGAGGCGCCCGCGGCGAGGGTCAGGGTTGGGGCGGTGCGGGGGGCACGCTGGCGAGGGCGCTGGACGGAGCTGGGAGGCGAACCCCGGCCTTGGCGAGCCCTGCCTTGGTCTCTCCCGGCCGAGCTCCACCGGCCTGTGGGGGCGCGTGGGGTGGGCGCGAGCGGGGGGCGGTGGGCGAGGGGTGCCAGGGGGCAGGGCCGCGCGGGGCAGCGGCGTCTGCATTTCCGTCTGGCCGGACGCGGAACGGACAGGGCGTCCGCAGCGGGGGCGGGGGGTCTGCGGGCAGGAAGGAAGGGTCTCGGCCGGCCGGGATGGGCAGGTTGGCGGCTGCCGGGGAGAGGACGGAAGTCAAGTGCAGGTTTCCTCGTGGCTCCTCGGGGGGCCAGGCCGGGTGTGTGCGACCCCGTGCCACGGGGAGCCGTGTGTGTGGAAACTTGCAGTAAGTGGCTGTCGAGAGCCTCTCCATTTTCTACTCGGAGAGGAACGCCGTTTCCAACATGTGTCCAGGTGGCAGTCTTGTCCCCGGGCATCCACGTTCATCGGAGGAAAGCCGCTTTGCTGTCATTTGTTTACTTTAATACCCCAGGCACATCTGGACGTGGCTTTGCGGTGTTGTGTCTGTTGCAGGGACCGACTGGCCAGGGCGCTGAGGCTTGTTTTTCTTAAGGGATTTTTTTTTTTTTTAAGGCTTTAAGGGGGTGGGGGTAAGAAGTGCTAATGCTGAAAATCTCCACCGAAGCAGAGAGAGTGGATACATTTAAAACGTGGGGTGTTTTTGTGCTTGGCCCTAAGGACCGCATTTTCCCACGTGATGGGGCAACTTCCTTTCATTCGCTCCTTAGGAGCTAATATGCAGGGATCATGATTTATGAGTCATCACCGAAAAGAAAAAGTTGCTCTTTCCGACGTGAGCTCGGACGTGACTGGTCCTGAAGAGTCGTGAAAGCTTGTGTTTCTGAGCTCACTAGCGCCTTTTTCGTGCGTAAAGAGATTCTTCAAGCAGCATTGTGCCTAATCTCTCTCGGAAGGATGGTCGGTGTGATTGCCAAAGATGTTCTAGAGGCAGCTTTCTCTACTGCCTGTTGAGGAACCGGCTGGAGGGTGGGGGGGGAAATGGCCGAAATCAGGTGGGCTTAAACATCTACCAGGTGAAAGAGTCCTGTGGAAGAATGAGTCATTGAAGAATCCCTTTCCCCAAATGGGCGTGTGTTTTCTTGCTCAAGATTTACAAGTCAGGGACTCTGTTAAAACCATTTCCGAGGTTTGTTGTGGACTGACCGTGTTTAGACAGACCAGTTCCTATCCCGGTGATTTCAAAGTGAATGCGATCATTAGCCCTACCGCGATTTGCCCTAACTGCCAAGCGACACACCTTGTGGAGCCAGAGTTCATTGCCAAAGTCTAGGGTTTCTTAGCGTTCGTTCCGTGCCGAGGGTTGCCAGTACTGCAGATGTAGTTTCTGCTTTCATGGTTGCATTCTCCTGATTGAGGGAGACGGCACCCTGGGGAGGAACAGTTGTTGCGTGGACCTGCTGAACTCCCGCCAGAGGAAAGGAGGCGCAGGTGTGGAAGGTCATGCGCGGCCCAAGCGGGATTCTGGTGGCAAGCGTGATGGACCGGCAGGCTTCTCCCAGCGCTTCCGCCCCAGTGCATTAATTGCATATTGGTGTGTTCATGGTTGGCAGGATGTCCTGCCTGCCCAAGGGAGGTGGTTCCATAGGTACTATTAAAATTGGGTGTGTCGGGGTTCAGATTTGAATACATTCTGATGGCTTCCCAAATAGTGCTAAATATCTCATAATAGTTTCTATTTATGCTTTCAATACGATTGCCAAGCCCTCTTGTAAGAATGACAGGGTTGAACATTCGAAACGGCCTCATTCTTTACCTCTCAGGCCAGGCTTGGAGTGCCCTGGCCTGCCCTTGTCCGGAGAGTTCCTGCCTGTCACTTGGGTAACCTTCCCTGAGTGAGCCTGCTCCTCTCCCACGCTGCCCACGCCCCCGTGCTTCGTCATAGAATTTCACAGTGAGTTTTTGTAATCTCAGCTTAGACCATGCTTACTGTGTTTCCCAGTTTTCCTTATCTCCTGCTTGGTTGTCAGGGCTTTGAGGAGGAGCACTGTCGTTTGTTTCTGTAGCGTGACCAGCTCCTGAGCACACGAACTTCTGTGTATAGTAAGTTTCTCAAAGTCATAGGAATGTATTCAGAAGTGGGTTTGGTTAAGCCGCGGTAAGCCAGTGTGTGTGCAGTGGCTTAGAGCAGAAAAGCTGGCCTTCGAGGGGAGGCGAGTTCTCAGAGAGGCAGCAGCTAGGAAAGCTCTTAGGATGAGTTGAAACTGTATTCTCCAAATCCCGAAGTCTGTGTAATTCTCGCATTTGTCAGAATGTGGCACCCAGGAAAGTCTTCAAGGTCGTGATCGGGTTGGGTTGAGTGGGTGTGTTAGAAGCCAGTGTCAGGTAGGTCTTCGTAGATCAGGGTTGTTTTTCTGATTTGTGAAAATTAATATAAGCCGGTTTTTCTTAAGTTAGTGTTACAGACTGACCCCAATGAGTTGATTGCATTTAGATTGATTGCCTCGAATGGATTTCTGATGGCCTCTCTGGAAAGGCTTCTTTTTGTTTGTCCTTGAAATAACAACATTTTCTGTATTGCATGGTGTTGGTTTTGCCTCTAAAGTGATTTGAAACTTCTGGGCCTGTCTCAAAGTAACTGCCGAATACCCCATATTGTGTTTAGTAATGGTGAGGCAGTGGGAAGGGGCAGAAGTCTCCCTGGGCGGGCTGTGGTTTGGAGCTGCTCAGGTGGAGGTTGGTGGCTGGTCCAGCTGATTGCAGGGAGCAGGTGCCACCTACTCTAAGGTCTGACTGTGGTGTCACTGTGCCGCCAGAAAATCTGGAAACTGTACAAGCTCTAAGATAGCCGAAAGATCGGTATTCACCTCTCAATGCGTATTTACTTCTATTAAAAAAAGAGGAAAGATAAAGGAGCTTATTCCATAGAGACAGGTTTGAATTGTTCCCTCCTACCCCAATAACTATCCCCCCAAATGAGTAAATGACTAAATGGGGGTGGGGGTGTATGGGGCCAGAGCTGCTGCTTGGGACACCTGCTGCTTGTTTCCACTTCCCATCCAGCTCCCCGCTGATGCGCATCCTGGGAAGCTGCAGGTGGCGGTTGCCGCTGCGTGTGGGGGATGCTTGGAGACGCTAAGCCACCCCTGGGAAGTGAATTAGTGGTTGGAAGGCCTCTCTCTGTGTCACCCTGCCTTTCAAATAAATGCATCAAATCTTTAAAAAAAAAAAAGTTTTAAGATCAGTTGAATTTCAAGATAAACCTACAGAGTTTGATTCTATAAACAAGATTGCTAGTAAGGCACATACCAACTAGGTCAATGACAAGTCATGCGTTTCATGATTTGTTTTTTAAAAAATATTTACTTAACTTGCAAGACAGAGACAGAGAACACTTGTGTTTCCTGGTTGATTCCCCTAATGTCCACAGCAGCTGGGCCTGGGCCGTGCGGAAGCCCAGAAGCTGGAACTCTGTCGGGGTCTTGCACTCCGGCCACCTTCTGTTGCTTTCCCAGGTGCATTCGCGAGGAGCTGGTTTGGAAACATTAACTGTTGGGACTGAAGGCAGTGCTGCAGTGTGAGACACGTGTGCCGAAGGTGGCAGCTAAACTTGCTATGCCCCGGTGCTGGCCCCACAACTTAGTGACTCTTAGAGGGTAGTTTATAGGAGATAATTTATTCTGTTTTATTGTTTGGCATTTATTTACCCAGGTAGAGGTAAAACTATTGGAATCTGAAACATAATGATTAAAAGCTACAAGATTAAAAAAAACATTTTTATTTGAAAAGCAGATTGACAAAGAGATGAGGCATTTTTAAAAAAAGATTTATTCTTTTTTATTGGAAAGGTAGATAAGATCTTACAGAGAGGAGAGACAGAAAAAAAAATCTTCTGTCCCTGATCACTCACCGAAATTACCTCAACAACCAGAGCTGAGCTGATCTGAAGCCAGGAGTCTCTCCTGCGAGTGGAGGGTTCCAAGGCTTTGGGCCATCCTCTACTGCTTTCCCAGGCCATCAGCAGGGAGATGGATGGGAAGTGAAGCAGCTGGGACTTGAACCAGCGTCCATATGGGGTTGTTGGTGCTTGCAAGGGGAGGATTACCCTGTTGAGTCACTGTGCTGGCCTGAAAAATTTATCATTGAAAATCACATTCAGTTATGGGGAAGTGTGTGTACCTGTTATGGTTCTGTTTTCTATGGACGATTTTGCTTATCTTCTGGTGGCAATCTCTTTCCACTCTGGCTAATCTTTTTATAGTTGATCCTGCCACCATCCATGGGACTTATTTCAGCCACATTTTATCACAAACATTGTCTTACTTGATTTTAGCTTTTGGGGTGAGTTCCCGGAGATTGCATCCGTCTCCTCTTTTGTAGCCGAGTTCCTTTCCTCCTGCCTTGAAGTCATGTTTGTTCTAGTGCACTTGGGATTTTACTGTCTCAGGAAGCATTTGTGAATGTTGTACAGGTCCTTTGCAGAAACCTTCATTTTTAAGATTTAAATAAATTTTTAGTAATTTTAATTTCTTACAGTAGCCTCATTCTAGGAACTCATAATAATGTTTTATGAAGTATCAACCAGAATAGTGTAATAAAAAGACAGTTGGGCCAAAAATTGAATTCTGGTGCATATTATAACATTTGGGAATGTATATGTAGGGAAAACCTCTTAAAAACCTTCAGATTTGATTTCTCCTCTGTTGAAGTAGAATGAGAGGTGTTGAACTAGACGTCATTAGTAA